CGTGAATTAGCACCTTCTTTATATTTTACTTGTATTAAAAATAATAAACATATATTCCCTCTGTCCTAAAACTTTCTTCCCACTTCCCTTTTTTTTCCGTCCTAAAACTACCTTCTCATTAGAAAAAAAAAGATGACAAATGACATTAATACCCTCATGTATTTACACCAATTATCTTCGAACTCTATATTTTGAATGATTGCAAAAAAAAATTCAAATTTTTTTTTAAGGAGAGTAAAATTTGAAGTCAAAGCCAAAAATTAAAAATGGAGAAAAGTCAAAATGAGAAGAAAGTTTTAGGATGGAGGGAATAACTTAATTTGGGATAGAAGATGTAAAACTTAAAATAGATAGTTGGGGGAGCGATTAAATCAGAGGGAATAATTTTTTTAGCAGGAGGGAAACAAATTATTCAAAAATTTCAGTGTCCCCAAATTGTGCGTGCTAAACCAAAAATGTCTGTGTCCCCAAAAATTTCATTGAGTCGCTCGCCATTGTTTCGTAACATTATTCACCCACAATTCTCAAAGCTTCCTTCTTGATTTTTTGCTTGTTTTCTGTCATTTTTAGAGCTTTAGATCCGACTTTCGCTGTTGATTCCCTTTTTGAGTTCATTTTCTTAGATTTGGGTCTTGATTGTGCCAGAATCGAAGGTCAACTCTTGAGGTTACTGTTCATTAGCGACCTTGTAGATTTCAATTCACATCGTTTCTTGATCGATTGAAGTCCAATTTTTTGGGTCTTTTGAGCAACTTGGGATGCACTTTCAAGGCTTGAAGTTGGTTTTCCATTCCAATTGAAGAATCCTTTGAAATTAGAAAATTCTTGGATTTGGTGCGCTATTCACGACGTAGGTTTGTACTTCGAATTTCATTAGGTTTCTTACTTGTGTTTGCCCCAATTTTTATATTTTCTTGGTTGGTTTTTAGAGGTCTTTTAGTATCTATTATTGGATTTATTGTGTCACTGGTTCTTCAGACCTTGTTGCACTACTTTGTTGGAGACTTCATGGGTCTGTTGCAGCTGTGAATGATAGTGGTGTGTGGTACCTCTTGGCTTGATGGTTTTTGAGGGATAACCCACAGGTTTGTTATTCGTACCACTGGGCAAATACTGGCCTTTGTGTATTTGTTTTGATTTGTGTTGAATTTGTTGGCGACATTCACCAAGTTCTTAGCTTCTTTTGCTCCATTCTTTTAGTATGTTGGTCAGATTTTAGGGGTTTTTCATTGCCTTGAGTTGGTTTTTGTTTTAACAAACAGGTTCACCAGGTTCTTAGCTTCGTTTCAATCCCCTTACTCACTCGGTTCTTTTTTCTAGTTAAAATAGATTGTGACTTATTTTTATAGGTGGTCATGCAGGAGTTAGAATTTTACCTCTTTTGTCTCAGGTTTAAAAACTCATATGCAAAGTGCAAAACTGGTAAAACCTATAGTTAATGTCATATGTTTAACTTTTAAATTTTTAACGAGCAAGGCTAAACCTCTGTGTTCTTTATCTCTGGAGGAAATTTCATATCTCACCTCATGTATTCAGAATGGAGGCATTGAGGTTGTTAAGGTATTGTGAGCTCGAATAAGTGTGTATCCAAATTCTAGTTTTACCATTAAGTTGGTAATCATGCAATGGAAGTAACTTAAGAAACTATGTCAACTCATTGTCATTTCTAAACAGTCGATAGGTGTGATGGTTTCACTAAACTTAAGTTTTCCTTTTTCTTCATCCTATACCCCAGGCAAAAGCTGGTGCAAGATCTGCAACGATGTCCATTTTAAGCATTCATTTTTTTTTTCTCTGTTTCACTTCTTTTTCTAATAATTCAATTGATGATATGGTTTATAATTGGTTTTGGTATATATGCAAAAAAGGATACAACGAGCACACTTGATGGGATAATAGACAGTTTCTACAATTCATCCTCTTACGCCACTACTAAGCTTATTGAAGACCAATGGTAAGCTTGTATTGATTGGTCTCCCGGAGAAACTCCTTGACTTTTCAGCGTTTCCCTTAACCATGGGTATGTAGTACTAGCCACACTTCCATTCATGTGTTGTACATATCTCTGCTCCACCTTGGCATTGATATAAAATGAACTAAACGACATTAATTTCATGTTGTGATTGTGGATCGCAGGCAGAAAACTGGTTGTAGGAAGTGGCATCGGTGGAATAAAAGAGACTCGCTGAACTTCTCAGCCAACATAACATCACGCCCGATGTTGAGATTGTGGCGATGGACTATGTCAACACCGCCATGGAATGCCTGGCCAAAGCCGATGTGTAAAACAGATTCGTATTGAATTTTTCCGTGGAGTATTACTAAACCAGATCACCATTTTGCAGGTAAGCTGTTCTTGTTCTGTTCTTCCACTGCAATATACTCTCTGCCTGGCCCAAGGACTTAACAACATTGATGTATACTATCTTTGCACTTCCACACTTTACATAAACTGGAATTCTGGTGATGTCATACTTAAATTCTTAATGTAATTTTTTAATAAAAATTGGATCCTCTATTCCACTGTCCCTATTCCATTGCAGTGCCACTTATTCTAATTGGGCAAAATCATATTTATTACTGTTTCCTTTTTTATCATATTAATTAATCAATAGTGTTAGAGTTTTTCCCACATCGGAAGTTGAATAGAAAAGTTATCGGTATATAAGGTCTTGAGTTGAACTAAGTAATCGATTGGATTCAATCTTTTAATGTGGTTCAACCCAATTGTCTTATTGCCCCAATCCAGTTATCTCTACCCAATCCTAAATTCTATCATGGTATCAGAGCCAGTTTTAGCCCACCTCGTTTGTCAAGGTGTCCGTCTAGACGTTCATTCCTAGCGGCCCGTTAGTCTTTAGCCCAGTTGTCCGTATGGATGTTGTACCCAACGGTCTGTGGCCTGTTTAACACGATTGCTCGTCTGGAAGTCCATACCCAGCGGCTCGTGGTCCTTTAGGTGTTGGCGCTAAAAAAAAAAAGTCAAGGGAATGGGAGTTCATTTGCAAGTGGTCAACCGGTTAGATTCAAAATGGCCCGGTTGTCCACTTGAGGGGGAGTGTTAGAGTTTATCCCACATTGGAAGTTGAATAGAAAAGTTATCGGTATATAAGGTCTTGAGTTGAACTAAGTAATCGATTGGATTCAATCTTTTAATGTGGTTCAACCCAATTGTCTTATTGCCCCAATCCAGTTATCTCTACCCAATCCTAAATTCTATCAAATAGACATCAATCAACCATGCGGGCATCCATGATGACTCATACCCATATGAGATAGGGAAAGTGGGAAAGTATTTGAACTCCATTTTAACTTGCTCTCTAGCTATATTTCTTTTTTCATCTGAAACGCTACTGCTACATGTAGTAGATTATTTGCTTAGCACAATTGGTGAACTATAGGTACAATTTAGCAAGTTGTTTGAAAGCAGAAAACCAACAATCAAACTGTCTTATGGGGCATTTCACCTCCTTGCTCCTTCATTGAACTTGTCCCTTCAATAACAGGTTCAACCAACTCCATGGAATGGCTACAGATTATATGTTCTAGGTGGCTGTCTCCAATAATTGGTTTTTGATTCACAATGATCATTTCAGGAGTTATTCAATCCACGAAGATTCTCAAGGATTGGGTTCCTCACTTGTTCATCTGTAGGAGCAACTGTATCATAGGAATAAGATGGATTGAAGAGGCAGACATGTAGAATATGTAAATTGTAAGGAAGATGATGTAAATAATAAATTATTAGATGTTTATAATATTTTAAATGTATGAATTTATATATTGTTCAATATATTGTATTTTTGAATTTATATTTATTTGGTAATAAACACAAGATAACAAATATCTAATAAAAAATTCAACTACCATTCAAACTAATAGTTTGAAAAGTATATGTACAACTACACAAACCCGTAGTGTTAATAACATTTAGACAATCAAAACAAACAGTTGTTTGAAATACTACAAAAATAGTAGTTCATATTTTTAAAATACAACGTGAAATAGTAGTTGTCTGAAGCAAATTTCTTTAGTAATCTTTAGAGTAGCTGTCTGATAAACAATTCAACTACTGTCATAAAAGATAGTTTGAATACTTCAAGGAAAACTACAAAACAACGTTGTGTTAATAATCAATATACAACTAAAACAAACAGTTGTTTGAATAAGAATAATGTTAGTAGTCCATATTCTAGAAATAAAACAAAAGATAACAGTTGTATGATGCTATTTTTGTTTAGTAGTCTTCCGAGCAGCAGTCTGATATATCTTTTAATTACTTTTTAAAGAAGATGTCTATATTGTTGAACGACAACACCAAGAATTAGGAGTCTGAAGTTAAAAACAACAGTAGTATTCATTATAGATAGACAACAAAAATTCACAGTTTTCTTTAACTCTAAAAAACAGATGTCTTACTAATATAAGGACAACACTAAAAATTCGTACTCTAAAACATTACAAAACAAGTGTCGTCAACCATTTTACACAATTGTTTTAAAACAATAGTCTGTAAATATATCAGACAGCTGCTCGGAAGACTACTAAAATCAGCACTGTGAGACTACTAAAAGAAACAGTTATCAGTATCTGTTTTTGACGTAGTGATTGGATTTCAGGCCATGATTCATTTGAGTAGTAGCTGGCAGTTAAACATGTGATTGTTGTCATTTTCTGAGTTGTCTTGGAAGCTCAGACTTCTCCCTTTGTTTTTTTGTTCTTTGGGTTTTTCTAAGGCTTTTTTTTCTTGTTCCTTGCTTTGGCCTGGTGTTGGGGTCGGCCACCCCCTCCTTTTGTACTTTTTCTTCTCATTAATAAAAAATCTCTCCTTCCCCTATATATACACACACACACACACACACACACATATATATATATATATATCCCCTTATATTATAAGAGCCTACAGCGTTTCCCTCCGTTATATACGCTCTTTTTCCGTCTTCTTTTCGACGCCTATCTCAGTAACCTCCAAATCGCAAGAATGAAGGATGTCATTGGCCAATTTGCCGCCCACCGCCCCAAGACACACACAGAGTCGCCGTTCACCGCCCCACCATAGGGTCACCCTTTTATATCTTCCTGGGATTGCAGATGTCACTCCTCTTCTCCAACTCCTCTCCGCCAAACCAAGGTAACCACCGTAATCTTCCGGACTCAAACTTTTTTACCAGAAGTAATTTCATGATGGAGAAGAGGGGTTAGTAGAAGTCGGTGGGTCAATTCTGCTAGAATCCATGCCGCTGCCTGATTGATCGGGGAAGGAGATTGCTTGATTGTGACCTCCCATGTCCAACTTTTGATTTCATAAGTAATTGCATGGATTCTGCCAAACTGAAATTACATCCTCAGGACTCCTCTTCTCCAACTTCTGAAATTACAGACTTATAGACTTTAAGCTAGGTCAGTGATTATTTGTGTTTGTTCCTAAGTCTTTATTTTCATCAATTGCTCCATTTCTTTGTTTATTTTTCTCTGGGTCAGTGTTTGCAAGCAGACCCTTCTCTTTTCTACAATTGATTTGAAGGGAGGTAGGGTAGGATTTTCCCTCTCCCATGATTTCATTCTTCTTTTAGATAAGTGATATTCGTAATGTCAAACCCATTAATTGACTTGGTTATTTTTAAATAGTTGCAGTTATGAAATTAGTTTTTAATTATTCATTTAGAAGACTCAAATTCAGTAAGATTCAGATCAGAATCATAATTTATTGATGATTCTTGGTGTTCACATGTTTGCAAATACTATTATTCGTTTTTTACAAGGGAAGAATTAGTTGCCAAAGGCCTTCTACTTAAGATACCAATGAAGGGGCTGTTGTTGAAGGGAGGGATTTGGTCCATACAGTCTTAATTTTCCAAGAGTTAGCAAGGGGTTATAATAGAAAGAGGATCACCTCTAGGTGTGTGCTTGATATGCACCAGCCTGCCCATTTCATTTATCACTTGACTATACCAAAAGTTTACATATTTATCAATGTGAGCAATAATACTAGCATAGTGTTGTTTCCTTAGCTTGCCTTTGCACAAGGTGGCGCCCATGTAAGTAAAAGGCAGTGAACAACATTTCATCTCTACAACCTTTTCCATTTCATTTATTGCTCTTTTGGTTTGGTTTGGTTTTTGGAAGATGAATTTAACTTTTATTTCTCGAGGCAACTAATTACAAATATGGAGTCCTATTTTTTAAAAACAAGAACAAGTAAATGCTCCGTGGAAATTAAAAAAATATTTCTTAAAAATCAAATACATATTCTAAGTCAAATTGCGAAATTTCAAGTATACTACTCTTTAATAACTCAAATACTATATTTTTATCACTTTACTCGAGTAGTATCTTAATACAAACATATATCGAAGAATCCTCTTTAAACCGAATTATTCCAACTTCTGCTAATTTGAAATATATAATAAGACACGGGCTTCCCTCTTCATATTGGATTGTTTAATACGGAGTATAAATATTCTAGAGCAATACTTTATATAGCGTATATGAAATTTTAAGGGAAAACAACGAAAAAACCGAAGAGAATTAATGAGATTGTATTAGCTTATGGGTTCAGTTGTCAGTATGCATATATTTTGTAGTGCTTTGTAGCAGATACTCCCTCCGTTAGTTATAACAATTAACTTATTTTAGTTCTTAATGTTTGGTACAGGTGACTAAAATACTACTTGTGCCCCATGTTAATCTCTTCAGGTTATTATTGAACTTCCTTGGTATGTTTACATCTCCCTAATATTATAAGCGCCTAAGGGGGTTAAGCTCGATTTTTTCCCGTCTAATTTATAACGCCTCTACTGTTCTCTGTTTCTTTCTCTTCCTAATTGCCCAGCCTCTTTCCGTCTCTCTCCAATTCCCCCACGAACGTTGAATGCTATTCGCCATTCTCGCGGCCCACTGCCCCACGATGAGAGCTTATTCACCGCCCACCTCTCATATTTTCATTCTCTTTCCGATACATCTTTGTCCTTCAATTTCCAGGTATTTCGTTGTTTCTTCGTGCCTCTTCATATCCCTGCATATTTAGGAATTCATCATTATCATCTTCTTTAATTTGAATTGTTGATAGTTGAATTTCACAGATTTTTAGAAGTAGGTGTTTCAACATTTGGGAATCTGCTCAAGCTTTAGGGAATTCCAAACTTTGGAAGTTTCTAGGATGAAGTTCTTTTGAAATTGAGTCAATTTTTAATACACCTATTCTAATTTCGGAAAGACTTGGTGAAAGAGAGGTGATCAAATCCTCCAAATCCCCACAAACAGATTGTATATATGTCGTGCATGTTTGTGAAAATCATTTATCTCATAGAAATGATTTGGAGGATTTGAAGTCCTTAGAAGGTAATTTAGAATGCGCTTGTGAGTTGTGCCCATTTGGTGCCCAAATGAAGGGTATAAATAAGCTATTTGTTGAGCTGTAATGTAGCTAAAGCTATTGTTTTTTTACAAATCCGAGGTTCATGTTACGTTGTTTGTAATATTTAGATGTATGAATTTGTCAGATAAAAGGGGTTTTCTTCAACAGATGTTATACCCGAGTAATATTTAGGACTTTTTACTGCCTATTTTAAGGGATTTTAGGAGTAAGATTTCCATGTTTGGTCTATCACAGTAGCACTGATGATGGAAAAAAAAGGCAAATATAGCTAAGGTAGATAGTCTTATTTCTTCCTTTTTTGGCTTCTTATCGTTGGGATCTTCGCATGTAGTAGTGACCTCTACCTGAGTACTTGCGGTTGTTGATGCCGGGTAGATGGGCATTAAAGATAGCAACCATAGTCATAGAATTGTAAATGTAAATTTTAAGAAACAAGCCAAAGGTAAATCAAGTCCAAACCATCCCAAATGGCCTAAAATTCACTACAAAGGACCATTGTGCAAACTATTCATAATGACCTCTTTTGCAAACACTTCGATCTTAGACAATTCTGCTATAACATTGTAGGTTGCACTGCTGAACAGTTCTTCAGTTTCTAGACACTAATAAATATGATTGCTTCCAATTTAAGTCTTACTCAAACCAATTAAAAACTTTGCAAGCTAAAATAAACATCAATCACCATCATAAACCATAAATTATACTTAATGTTCTTTTTTTAAAAAAAGAGTTTATCATATGAACTGTAATTAGGATAAATTTAATTCTCAAAAGAAAAAAATGAATTAAAAGAGGGAACAGAGGCAAGACATTACAAGATCCAAACATAATGATGAACACATTTTTGATACTTTGTATGTGATTACAAATTTAGAACAATTTTCTCATTGGTCAATGTTTTGATTATATTTTTTAATGCTTCATACAGGTGACAAAATACTGTTCGTGTTCTTTGTTGGTCTCATCAAGTTTTTGTTCAACTTCCTTGGTATGCTTACGCACTTTTAAGATTTATATGCTTTTAATTTTTTTTGAAAACAGTGTTTGTGTCTAGGTCTAGAAATGTATTGTGAATCTTATTTGCTTACAAATATTTTTCTTTAAAAGTCGTACACTCTAACTCACTTTAATTTAAGTCAAAACATACATCGGAGCTTCTTTATAAGTATTTCTAATTTTTACCTACAACTTTTGCCAAAGACACATAGTAGTAAGAACACCTTATCTCCCTTCTTTGGTATCTAGCTATGGTCAGTTTGATGGCTGTTCTGATGTTAATCTAGTAGTAAATCACAAGTTTAAGAAATTGCAGTACATTGAAGTCAGTTTATATTGAATTCAGCAAGCACTCGATCTCAAGACTTAGAAGAAGACATGTTACAAAATTATAGCCAAATGTGTATCTTACCAGACCCAAAGGCATTGGTACTTAATAGAAACCTGCAACATGAACCAAAAGTGTTAAAACGACATATATAGACAACGATTACCTGCTACGACTTATGTTGCTTCTCTGTTCCAATCTTGATTTCCTTAGTTAAGCCAGGGGTGAGTTAAATCAGTTGCCTGTCTCAAAAAAGCGAATACTCCTATATAAGACTTATCACAAAATTTGGAATTCTAATATGTTGACATCATCATGCATGCAACTATAAACCATTCTTTCTAAACATGTGAGAAGGATTGAGCAGGTAGGTATAATCATGCATCTATCAATCCATATGTACGCTCTGTTCTGTTTATAGACTGTATTATTTTTACATGATGATCAAAATCCAAAACTGTATTTGTAGGGAACTGCACAAGGCTGCATTCCGGGCTTAAGTTCATTTGAATAGTCGTATCAACACCCCGTGCTAACGAGTGAGCAAGAGCATTAGAAAAAAACAAACAAAAAAAAAAGAAATATAACCAAGCCGAGACATAAGAAGGAGGCACCCGTCAATGATCGAACCAAAATAAGAAGAAGAAGTCGACTCCACCTGAAGGGCTTGCACAAACACAAGCAATCAGAACACACCCCAACATCACGAGTGCCCTTCTTCTTAAGCTAAGAAAGCGCCATACGTTATAGCTTCCGCTAAGAGAGGATCATGGAGACAACTCAACCACCCAATGGTGCTTTTTTACTATTGTCATTTTGAATAGGCACAAAATTGCACCATATGTATAACATTTGTATCGAGAGCTCTAAACATTAGCCGTATGTAAACCTTAGAGTATATAGATTGCTATGGCACTTATGCAAACAATATCTTGGGCACCATACGCGCAACGTGCGTCTCAAGCTAGTATATATATATATATATATATATATATATATATATATATATATATTAATGGAAAAGATTTTATTCAAGGAAACAAGAGAAGTACATAAGGTGGGGGTGACCGACCCCAAAAAAAGGCCAAATCAAAAGACAAGGAGACTAAAACAAAAGATGCCAAATTCAATACAAATACGAAAGGAGCTGGCTACTGAAACAATCCCAGAATGTCTTCTTCCTCTTAAAATTTCCTGCCCAGCAAAAATGTCTTCTTCCTCTTAAATTTCCTGCACAGCAACAATGTCTTCTTCCTCTTAATGTTTACTTAAGAGCAAGCACCTCTTTAGAAGGAATAGACCACTCATTTAATCAGCCCCCTAGTTACTTCCTTCCTAGTAGGTAGTAAATCCCAAACTGAGAAAAAGAGAACCAAAACTTTTGAAGGAGAGCACAATCTCACTCTTCAAAAGCGTAATAATTTAAAAACTTAAAACTAAACGCTATGTCCCTTAGCAGAGAGCCCTTAACCGCAAGACTATGCTGCAGATTGGAATTCCCTCAAGTGTGTACGCCACTGCACATATTTGTAACACAATATGATGCTAGAATTTTTCCAAGCTGAGCTTCCATTCCAATTTATTGGATTATCCATTAAACAAACTCCATCTTTCCTTGTGAATGAGATTTGGCCCATGAACAAAAACTTTATATATACCCAGACTCAAAACTGGAAAGGAAAATGCAAGCTTAGTTTCTCTTGGCCCTCCCTTGAGTATGAGAGAGCCTCAAACAGATCCAAAGAGACTTAACCAAATGTAGATTGGGACTCCACAGCCTGCTCCCGTGTTAGAAATTCAGCCATAAGCCCTTCATCAGCCTTGGAGCAGGAAACGAAAGCTGGGTACTTTGAATCTTCGAATTGAACAAGGGTCACCTTTTCCATGCTTTTCACAGTCTCCCTTGTTGCTCTAAGTGTCTTCCCTGACATATTTTGAAATAGACCCATTTTGAGTTTGTCCAAAAGTTCTGTCCTTGCCAAAGCCTCTTTAATTTGTCTTTCCACCACCTTGAAGATTGTTTCAAAGTAGGCCTCAAATGCTGGTTGGAATAACTTTTGGACTCTCTTTTCTTCCTTTTCAAGTTCCTCTTTTGAGTCAGTATTTTGCCCCTTTTCTGTGATGCTATCAACTCTTAAAACTTGTGCAATATCTAGTTCAAAAATATTAGATGAAATGGAAGGAAACCTCGTCTGCTCCTCGTCTACTCGTTCCACAGGAAGCATCAATTCTGGCAAGTCCAGAGGTGCAGGAGATTTAACGAAATTCAATACCTTATCCCTTGATTCCTGCCCTTCTTGGAGGCTTAGGGCTACATTTAGAGCTTTAACAAAAAGCTTAATTCCCTCGGAATGCCTTCCAGTCGGAATGCAAATGTTTGACACCTCCCTATCATTCCCTGCGCTAATTCTAACAAAGTTTCCAAACTGATTTGAATCCCAGTGGGATTTTGCCTGCAAATTTCCTTCATATTTGGAAATCACCCAACCCTCTCTAGCCAAGGGTGGGTGACTTAAGGGACTCCGAAAGCCATAAGGCAGTAGAACGCGATAAAGAAATAAGTCTAGAATTACCGTTCTTGGATTCAGAAATTTCAATCTGGCCTGGAGTCTTGAAATTAAATACCTTGCTCTCAATCGAGATCGAAACGCAAGATTTGTATAAAAAAGGGCCTTGATAACGAGGAGAGTTTGGTCGGTCCTCACCAAACCAGGTTCTGAATCTCCATCCTTTTCTGATGTGTATCGAATCGCTTCTCCACCTAGGCGTTTGAGTTCGTCTGCCTCTTGATTCATACCTCCAGTTTTGATGGGCATCGAGATCGATAGGATCGGCAAAGAAGCGCCGCCGATGAAAGCTCCCCCTTCTCTCTAGAGCGCCTAACCCCATTTTCATATATATATATATATATATATATATATATATATATATATATATATATATATATATATATATATGCCAGGATGAGATACCGGGCACAGTCAATGGCTTCTACAAAAACTCCCCCTCAATCTCCTTCACGGCTGAGGAGGAGAGAAAGCTGGCCGCGAATTTCTCCTGGACGCTGGTAGGAAGATGCAGCCGCAGAATTCATCTTAATGAGATTGAAGATTTCCTGATCAAGGGTAGGTTCAAGGAGTTCAAACTACGACGTCTTCAATCCAATGAACTTCTCTTCATCTTTAAACATGAAGATGATTATCTACGCTGGTTTTCAAGACGGAGGTGGAACATCAATGGATGCATCATCACTTTTTGTAAATGGACGCCGGAGCATGAGCCATCAGTGGACTCACCCTACTTCCCCATCTGGGTCGAATTGGGGAATTTCCCCATCCACCTCAATGACCACAAAGCTATCTTCTCAGTAGCCTCTGCCCTTGGGAAGCCAATCAAATTGGATGCAAACTCTGTCATTGGGGTTAAACCTGATCGAATTAGGGTTTGTGTGGAAAGGGACTTATCCATCCCCTTCCCTCCTCATATCCATCTCAGATTGGGAGCTAAAGATCGTTGGCTACCATGTAAATTTGAAAATCCCCCCCTCTACTGCAATGTATGTCGCAGATTTGGCCATAATACTCAAGCTTGCCGGAAACAGTTACCGGAAAACCTCCCTGCAAATGCTCCGTTCAAGGAGGTGGGCCAGCTTGGAGCGGATGCACCCATGAATATTCACAATGATTGGAAAATGGTCTCTAACAAACAACACAGCAAGTCTGGGAAAGCAAACTTGATGGGCCCTTACACCAACCATACTGCCATGAATGGGCCTTTCAGATACAAACCAGTACTCCAACAGGGACTGGACAAAGGAAACCTGCGTAGGAGATCAGAGGAAATCCCCACATTTTCAAATTCTCAGGTCCAAGTTGGTGAACCCACAATCAACCATACAGCCAAACAGGTTAATTGGGAGGACCTGATGCCTACGGTGGAAGATGTTATTGAAGATGATACCTCTCTTACCCCTCGCACCAATAATAAGCCCCATTTCAGCAAGCCTTACCACCAGCCCATTCATGCAGACCCTCTTCATGACCTCTCATTCCTCCAAGTCCACAAACCTCAAACTTGCATGGACATTATTCCTTTTAACCCATTCCAGGAGGACTCTTACTCACTGGGAGTCTTCCCACCTTCAAACAGTGAACTTCCTAGATCGGGTAGCAAAGATGACTGTTGGATCAATGCTCAGCTTTAAACTACCTGGGAAACCAAGTCTGACAATGACTCCATTTTGGAGGAACCCGTCCCATTTGTTTGCCACTCTGATGGAGGAGAAGGTGATACACCTTTCATCACATCCCCCCTACCCCCTTTCATTTGGACGTTAGTAGATGTTCAAAGCAATCTATTCCGCTCCCTAAGCACCGTAGTGTCAAAAAAGACATTCCACCATCATCGGTGATGACTCGAAGCAAGACTTCTAAGGATGTACTCGCTCCCAAGTTTCTTTTATGAAACTCCTCTGTGGGGCTGCCTCCTCTCTCAGCAGAATTATTTCCTTAAGGAGTGCACACAACTTGGACTATCTTTGCATTCTAGAACCTATGGTTAACCCCTCTCAACTGGAATCCTTCCGTATTAAACTCAACTTCTCCCACTGTCTTGGATCCCATAATAATAAAAAATGGCTCTTCTGGAATGAGTCATGTTTTAAACTCAGCTCCTTTACTCACTCACCTCAAGTAACCAACTGCATTTTCACCCTTCAAATGGATAACTCCCCTATTTTGATCTCTGCAATTTATGGTGCCCACACAGTCATGGCCAGGAAGGAACTTTGGAATCAACTTTGTTCTCTCTGTCCCTCTAACAATCGCTGGATTGTAGGAGGCGATTTTAACGCCATTACCTCCCCTCATGAATCCAAAGGCACTTGCGGTCCAAACCCCTCTAGTATGGAGGACTTCAACTCCCGCGTCCTTCACTGTAAACTCATCAACCTTGATCCTCAGGGCAGTATTTACACATGGTCAGGAGTTCGTTCCCAAGGGAGAACATGGCGTAGGCTTGACAGAGTGTTGATTAACTTGGAACTGCTTGCTCTCTTCCAAGATGTGGAACTTCATCACCTGGCCAAATCCAATTCAGACCACAAACCCATTCTCCTCCACTGTAACGACCAGACTCCCAATACTATCAAACCCTTCAGATTTTTGAACACGTGGACCCTTCACGAGGGCTTCCTCAATACTGTCAAACAAGCTTGGACAACCTGCCCTACCATTGGAGGTATGAGAGGTCTCCTTCACAAGCTCCAAAC